GGGCCTGACCCAGAACCTGACACAGGCCCTGTCGCAGGGCCTGACACAGGGGTCAGGGCCTCAATGGGGTGGAGGGCGAAGTACCCCCCCCGGTGAGGAGGCCGGCGGCGCTGCCGGGCCTCGGCCCGCACGGCCCAGTCCGCGAGGTGGCCGGGCAGGACACCCTCGGACTTCTCCAGCGGGGCCTGGCGACGGGTTGTGCCGAGGTCGAGCACGAAGTCCACCCCCCGCCCCCCCCGCACCGCGTACAGGAAGCTTGGGAGGAAGGGCGTGAGGAAGACGTGGTGGTGGTCCGGCAGAACCCCCCCTGGCTGCGTCTCGAAGGCTTGCTGGCTCACGAAGAGCGTCGTGCGAGGGAAAGACTTCGTCTGCAGCGCCTCCATCACCGCGTGCGTGTCCGCCGTAAAGATATAAATCGTCTGTGGGTCCTTGGCGTGCTCAAGGATATACCCAAGGATGCTCGTCACGATGTTGATGCTATGGAAAACGAGCTTGTTGTTTGGCGGTGGGCACTTCCGGCTGATATCCATGCCGATCTCGAGCACATCTGACTTCGCAAACGCGTTGGATTCGTCGTAACTGAAATCTACCACATTTTTCTTTGCCTCGTCGAGATTCTCCGGCGGGGTAATCGTGTGCAGTCGCTGCTTTGCAAAAAAGCCCTTCACGCACTCCTGATCCTCTGGCAGAACACAAAGTACTAAACGCAACAGCGGAGAAGCAGCAGCATTGACATTTGTAGAAGTATGACCAGTGAAAGTAGTGGTCGAATTAGAGGAGGAGCTGTGGGTGTAAATTCGCTCGCGGAGGCTCCAAAGGAAGTACGCCACGGTATGATTCATCCGACTAAGCGAAGGTAGAAAGACATGCGTGAAGGGCTCTAGCGATTTCTGCGTATGCAAATAAACAAGTGCGGTATCGGCGTTGCACACCCAAAGCTTGCACTCCATGGAGCCTTTGCAAGATTGTCCAGAAAGCTCTCCAACGCCATCATTCGAGTTCACTTTCCTATCCGTCTGAAGGTGCAAAAGCCATTTCGCTACCGAAGAAACCTCATAATAATGAGGAACCACAACAAGAACCTTAGCATTTGCCACCTCCACGCTTGTAGAGACGGCAAGGGTGAGGGAAGAATATGGACGATCTACAAGAACCACCTCGTACGCCTGCAATTCTGTAAGTTGTGATAAATCTAAGCCCAATTCCACATCAGGAAGAGATTTCGTGATCTGACCCTCAAGAATTTCCAATATTTTTGCCTCTACGTCTTCGAAGGTGGCCTCGGGTTTTCGGGTTCCGGTGCGAATGCTTTTTCGTGCTCCGATAACCTCCCCCTGACCAACCTTCTGAATCGCATCGAAGTCGAACTTTAGAACGTTTGCATCGGATCCGATAGCAGAAGCTATAGAATTTCCCAATACAGGATTACGCGGTTTCTTACCAGTGAAGATATCATCAAAGTTAAATTCAAGAATGTTACCATTTCCAGGCTCGCTTGGTAAGGTAGAGTGGACTGAATCGGGAAGTAACGTTCCGGGAGAAATGACAACAGATGTACCGCCCTCCACCAAAGGTCCGGCGGGGGAGAAGATCTTTCCACCTTTTCTGCTTTGACGGGGTACAACAGGCATCTTTTTATTTTTTGAAAAAGAATGAAATTCACCACCACACGCGCTTGCTTTGGGTAATTTTAAAAAGAAATAGATACTAAATGCGTCCTTGATGGTTACTAAATAAGCTAAGCGTTATGAATACTGTGGTTATATTTATAAAAAACTAATAAAAAGGTATTATTTCTTTCACCAATATGATAGAATAATAATAAAATAAAACTGAAATATCTATAGAATCTGATGAGTAAAAAGAATGTAACTTTCAGCCGATACAAAAAAAAGTAAAAAAAAGCTTATGAAAATGCAAGCCAAACTCCATAGTTGATTTCATATATTTAATAAAATTTATATCCAGTATCATAAAAAAAAAAAAAGTGCTTGAAATTGTAGTTACACTGTTTTAAGAAGTTTCCTTGCCGATCCAATGGTATTTTCTATCATACCTGTGGGAAAAACTAAGTGAAATAAACGCATCAAACATATATGTCGTCCTCCTCACAGAGATTAACAAATCATGAGAAAGAAATAACAATAATCAGTTCGAATAATTGAAAATATCCTATCACCAGCCCTAATATGATCTCCACAAGATTTTTATAAGGCTTATAAGAACTAAAACTTACAAAAGTGTGTTTTACATACGGTATTGCTATATTAGTGGGATAAAAGGAAAGGCAAATTACTACGCCATCCTGATCTCTGTGGTTACCCAGAACCCGCTAGGCTGATTATATTTGGATTCGTCAATGTTTGTCCTCCAAATTAAACGATTCCTCTCCCTTTCTGCTAAAGAAATCATTCGCCGTGTGAAAGCCTCCCATTCATTCATAAGATGTGCAGTTTCACTTTTGGATGAATCTCGCAAATTGTTGTATCTATCCGTCGAGGAATCTTCCTTTTCAGCGTCGTATATGTCTCTTTTCAGATCTTCGGAGTGTGCACAATCTACGCTATTTTCGGAATTTGTTACAGTTTGAGCCTTATCAGACTTAACTTTGAAAAAAGAAGTTCGGCTAACCCCATTACTTCGAGCTTGTTTAATCAGGAGCGCATTTCTCTTGTGGATCGTATTCTTAAATGTGACGCCTAAATGTTTGGTAATAGAATTCGAAACTCGCCCGACTTCATCTCGAAGCACTTCATCAGAAGCATCGTTTAGTTGTGGAAACATAAATTGAAGGTACCTCTTCAAACACATCACTTCCGCCGTTCCATCAAAATGATGATCCAGATAACTCCTCGAATCCATAAAATGATTAAAGTGGATCTGCTCGCGAACGCGCGCATTCAGGAAAAAGAATTGGTTCTCTATATGAGCTACGTTATAGTCTTTTTGCACGGCCCCTTGCTTAACAACAAGCCTCCCTTCCGTGCTCGTTGGACGCGTCCATATAGGCAGCAAAATATCTCCGTGTAGGTAAGAGACGCAACCATCCGGGCGGATTAATCGAGTCTCCTCTACCACATCGCGCCCACCAAAACTTTTTGCCTTTCGCGTGTACGGCAGGCGAAACTTCAGCATACTATAAGTTGCCTGTAAAATCATCGTCCATGCCTCCTGCGCCTGCATGTTCTCCGCGACATGATCCTCAAAATTTGGCAAACTCAAACTCCCAGACCGAATGTCCGAAATAAAAAGCAGCGGTTTAGCATGCTCCATACCTACAATGCAAAGCAGCTCTAATCCACGTGGTAATTGGAGTAGGGGCTCGTACATCGACGGAATATCCTCTGTTCCCCTAGCAACGTCTAAGGTCCCCAGCGCCGAACGCAGAGACTTGTGAATTTCTTTCTCGTGTGAATCCATCGACTCCAGTGTAAGGAAACGATAAATTTTCCCTAAAGACGGAAGCGCTTCGGTTAACCGTCGCACGTTAATATCATAGGCGGTGTAGTTCGTGAAGAACTCATTCCGCAAGATCATATTCGGTCGCTTTGCGAGCACCGCGAGGTCGAACTCCCCGGGGTCAATCAGCTCCCAGGTATGTCGATAGGCAAAGAGATCATCCAAGAAACCGAGATGGGTCCCCGGGGCGGACCCCACGTAGACAATGTGGTAAGCCACCCCTGGCTCGCCGTACATCGCAAGCAGCTGAATCTCCGACAACAGCAGTTTGCGCTGGCCCCAGTGCACAGCGCTCTTGACGTCGCTGTGACGGGAGCGGTAGGGCTCGGCGGGGAAGGCGTCCTCCATGACGACCGGGAAGGGGCAGTCCGAGGGGTGGTGGTAGAGGGGCTGGAAGGGGACCTCCGCGAGGGAAGGAGGGGGAAGGGAGATGGAGAGGTCCCTGCGACAGGACGAATGAGACAAGGGCTCGCCGTGGGAAACGTGTGAGCGCCTACGCTTGGGAGGATGACCTGGGCTGGACATCAGGGTCTTCCCTAAGCTGGGTTGGGGTGTGACAAAGAACCGGAGGGGTAAACTGAGAGAGAAGGAGGGGGGGAAGGGTAGGAGGGGGCGGTCACCCGGCTAACAGGAACCCAAGACCGTAAAGACAAGGGCATGGAATGTGTTGCAGCCAATAGAAGTCCTTTCCGTAAGTGAAAGGTTAAGGAATTTTTTTTTCTTTAATTGAAAATAACTCGAATGTTACAGAGTGTTTTTAATCGCGCAATTAGTTTACAATGAAGTTAATTAATAAAGTGTTGTTAAACGGAAGCAGACTAAAAGCACGCTTGACATCACCAATCGATCGTGTTACTGTTGACAAACTGCCGAACAGCCTGAAGCATCTCATTTATAGTCTTTGTAGCGTTCTGTGTATTCACCACACTGCTACGAGGGACGCTTTTTCGACCCAAAATAAGAAGACGCTTCAAAAGATAAATAAATTGAGCATCGACAAAGGAGCCGTCATCGCTCTCTATCTCGCATAACGTAGTAGTTTCCATCGACATTTGCAAAACCTGAAGGAGTGCTGTAATATATGAAGAATGAGAAACCGTGTTGAAGTTGAAATCTTTTTGAATAGAAGTAATATCAACCTCATTTGAAATCATCAAAACCACCGCCTCTTTCCATTGCTGTCTGGTAGGAACTGGATAATTCGAATACAGGTGCATATACATTCTAAGAAGCTGCTGAAGAAGCTTCGCTTCCTCCTTGCTGCACAGATTTAAACGTGGGGAATCCCTAGACGTGGTTATTTCCGTGGAAGACAAGGCAAACTGTAGAATACCCTCCGCAGCAACTAAAACAGAGCTTATTAGCCTTCCTCTCTTTTTAGCTTCCCGTAAAACATCGTTGAAGGCGCTATATTTATTGATAAGTTCATCATAACTGGCAGTTCTTGTAGAAGACAATAGAATACGAGAACGAATTCTCGAAACTTCTTCCTCAAAGCTAATATGCTCATCCAGATCATCAAAGTCCATTGTCTAGTTATATTAAATGGAACTTTTTGGAATTTTACAGATATCTATTTACGAACAATAATAATGAAAACGAGAGTTGTAAAAAGCTGAAACCATATAACCAAATAAATAACTGAGATATTATGAGAGACTATAAAGGATAAAGAAAAGCTATATGTCTACTTTTGTCATTGTTAGCAAACCAATAAAGTTCATTTAATCAATAGCAATAAGCTAATACTATGAAAATCAAAATCTAGATTTAGATTTTGATTTTTAATACTTTCTTTATCCGAAAAAATAAAAATTTAATTATCAATACAATTTATTTCGTAGAGACACTCAAGCTCTCGCTGAACTTTGATCTCGTATTGCCGACGTAATAAGAAAAAAACAAATACCATCGCAAGTGAAGCAAGACCAACTGTTAAACATAACTTTGCTAAAAATATATTTTTGCCACCTAAATAAGATACCGTGGCGAGAGTAAAGCTTTTTTCACCGCCAAAACTAACCGAATCGTAGTGCTCACCTATTTCCATTTGATAGTCTCCAGGGGTTAAATCCTCCTCGATGATACGCCGTAGTTTACGAAATTTGGGCGAGAGCGCGAGATGCATCCACACCATGAGATCTTCATCCGCACTAATTGGAATAGCATGTCCAAGCTCCCCTGCATACCAGCCTTCGTTGAAATAAGTATCATTCGATAACATTCTAGACGACAGAGGACTTTCCACGAAAGAAGAGCCTTCCGCGTAATCTAACCCACGAGGGGCACCCCATATCAAAGGATCTTCAATATTTCCCCCATAAGGAGGGGAAAAAATAGGTTTCTCACGATTTGAGATATTTTCTTTCCACATAATTCCTTTCTTTCGGCATCGGTTTCTACCCAATGCTTGAACGTTGTCGCTTTCGCCCATGGTGGGATTTCTGTTTACCATCCCCTCTAGCGGTTCATTCGTGCTTTTGGAGAAGGCGCTATCATTGCAGATGAGCAATCGCACCGGATCTTTTGTGAACCTATCCTTTTTGTCTGCTAAAACAGCATCCTTTCTTGGAATTTGATAAAGTACAAAGGTATCGTTGAACATCGACCACGGTAAAAGTCCCCCTGGCGAGTAAATAAAATCTCGATAATTATAAACCTTTTTATTTACTTCTATAGGTGTATTTTCAGTTCGCGTGAGCTCCCCAGGTCGCATTAAGGGGGATAAATTTTCCAAATCCTTCCGCAATACCGGTGTGCCTTCCAATTGTTTTTGTGATTTCGAATTTGCGAGCTTTCGGTGGTTTTGATAAAATCCTGTTAATCCATAATATAAATAAACAGGCGCCTTGAGAGTTTTATTCAAATGAAAATTAACCGTCGTAATACATCCTGTCTTCAGCTTCAGCCTGTTCCCGATGTAGGTGAAGGACCTTTGGTTTGACTCCGCGGTGCATTGATGGATATCATCATAGCGAAACGTTAGCTCATTTGCTAATTTTCCGGTAAATAAAATAATCATGCTGAGTGGAATAAAGAGCATGGATACAATAAGAAGCCATGTGATAATATGAAAAGGATGGCTTAAGGGCTGAATCGCGGGAAGACGTTGTTGTCGAAAAAGGAACCAAAACGAGGATGCCACCCTGCGCAGCATCGCGGACTATGATTTCGTTGTTTTTTTGTATGTAACTGTAATCAAGAAGTAAATATAAGCCAAGTTAATAATAACAATAAAACTGACGTGAAAAGGAAAAAATGAAGTCCTTTATCGTCATGAAATCGATTGAATGATCTACAAGTGAGTTTATGACACAGGATGCATTAAAAACAGTAGTATTAATAGAATTGTAATTGAATTTTTAAAAGGAAAAAAATACACAAAAAAAGCCTAAAGAATCCTATGAAAGTTTATCCTTTAATTTACTATCTTTTTCGGTTACCGTGGAAGAAATAGATCTTTTTTTCTTCATGATAAATTTATAGTATCGATCCTCCAGTTGTTTTCTCCAATCACCTAAAAACCTAAACGGGATGAAAAAATGCCTTTTATTGATATATAACCTCATTATTTCCTTCTTTTCCTCTTCGGTTAAACCGTTCTGTTCTAGAGGTAAGATTTCAACTTTTTCGGGAAATTTCCGCAGTACCTCCTCCTCGAAGTTTAGACATGTGTTTAGGCGACGCACAATTCCCGATGGAAGTATGGATAAATACCAATAAATGCAAGTTCCCTTTTCAGGGTGCTCACGATAAGGATATCGAAGAAAAAATTCCTGCAATATCTCACCTGCGGTGATATCTTTCAATAAGCGTGTGTTCTTGGGTAAATCTGCACGTTGAATCATGGCGTCGTTATCATAGAAGACGTGAAAATACGACGGATAACGAGAAAAAAGAGGTATTATCTCCCCCGGAAAGCAATGTGTCACGTCATCCGGTAAATTATCTAGAAGTTCATTGAAAGAAATTGACTTATCTTCCGGTAAATGGTCAAAAACGAATTGAATGAGCACCCGCTCGTCGAAAAAGGGGGTTCGATTCGTAAGATAATGAAGTCTACGCCGAATTCTTCGGCGTTTTCGCCTATTAATTGGAACGCTAGTGTTCAGGTCCGATGAACGATTTTTTTTCCTTTTACTTGTCTCTTCCAACTTAGCTCGGAGTTCCTCTTCTGATTCATTTACCGTCATGGCATATTGATTATCCAAAATAAACTGAGAATAAAGTTGAATTTTCGTGTGATTAGACGAATCTGAATACCCCTCGTAGGGAACTCCTTCGGAAATATCTCGAGAATAAGTTTTAAATAAATGTGGAGCGCTGCATAAAACCTGAAGAGGGGATAAATTAGGAGGAAGTAGCTCTTTTGCCTTCGCAAACCACCCCTCGGTGAGTTCAATTTCCTCGCAAACGTGAGGAAAAAGAGATGCGAGACGATACCACGCGAATTCCTTCACTCTCAAATCCTCCAAGTTCTTATTTGTGGAGGAAATAATATTCCAATATGTGAAATCGGTTGAAATATCGGACACAACTTTCGGATGAAGCGAAACATATCCCAGCTCCCACAATGCATACACGGAGAGATGGTTTGGGTGATTACTTAACCACTCCTTCCGCTTCTCTGAGTCTAACCGCGGAAGAATCTCATCATTTGTAAACGGGTTTACATACATCAAATACTTTTTATTCTTCATAAGTAATTTCTTGACCACGTCCTTCTTCGTCTTCTCCGCCTCTGTTAGCGGGTTTGTGGAAATTTCACGCACCGAGGTCGGAATTTCGTTGGAGTCCTTACAAGATAACCCCCATAACGCGCAAACCGGGACGACAAAGGATGGAAAACACGCGATAGTATCATTGAAATTGTGATCGCAAAAAAGATTATATAAATTAGCCTTCGTAGGCGGCGCGGCGTGGGGGTCAGAAGGACCCTTTTCGGTCGGAAAGTTAGCGCGCACCGCATGAGGGAGGTGGGACGTCCCTAACCTTCGCGGAGGATCCTTATGACGCGTCAGTTGTGCAGCTTCCGTCTTTTTCATCTTGAAAGGAGAGGAAACGGTGGAAAGACTTCCATGGTTATGTGGGGTTCCAAAAGGCCGCTTCTGTGGTGCATAGAAAGTGGTTTGTGCGATATAGATCGAAGAAATCGGCAACCTATCGTTGTGTGCATTCCAATTAGGACCATTTTTGTTTGGAAATTTACCAGAATCCTGTGAAAATGCGCGTGATACATGGTATACCAATGATGAGGCTGGTATTGATGGAGAAAAACGGTTCCTAACGGATGTCAAAATAGCCCGGCTCCTACAAAAGCGAAATAAAAATTCCCTATACATTTTAAGAAAAAAGTACATAAATTTGTTATTTTCCTTTATATGTAAATTATCTTAGATTACAAACTGAAGAATACATTTTTTCATATATCCGAAAGGAAAAGTTGAAAATGTTCAGCAGAAGCAGATCTACAAAAATAAATGGTTTGAAATACCGATTCAAACCAGAGCTAGAAACAGAAAATTGGGAGAAGCATAAAAATTGCTTATTATACCATAGTCATGCATGCAATAGGCTTTAAATGCAAAAAAAAGGATAAATAAAAACCAACTAATATTGATATATGCATAGTGTAGAACAACTCGATCAGAAGAGTGTTTCGAATAAAACATAAAAAAAAATAGAAAAAGAAGCCTATACACCTTAAAAATCAAGAATCTATAGATTCAACCTGCTCAGTATATGGGAACTATACAAAAAGCCCTGTTTTTAGAATTGATAGCAGATTCTTCAATTGTAGATTATCCTCTTTCACTTGTTAGGGTTAAGGAATCCCAAATGTAGTGATCTATAGATAGTGATCGCGCTTAGCTTGATTCTTCCCTTATGCCAATAATAGATTATTTTCCTCCTTCAACGCATACCATTTAGTTGAGAGTAGCGTTTCTGAAAATACAAGCATCCTTTTTGTAAAGCACATATCAGAAGAGGAAGAATGAGGTTTCTGATGAAAAAAAAGATTAGTTTATTTCCATTGATGCTTTTTCATTAAAAAAAACTTGATGAAGAATACCTATGAATGGCTCCTCCACCTCAGAAAGCAGACGTAAAGCCATTCTTCTAATCCTTATATTTTCACAAGGAGTTGATGACGTTTCCGCAGGTGATCTAGTTGTAAATATTTAGAAGAACATCTAAAATCCTCTGTAAATAGTTTATTCGATTGTAATATGTAAAGCTTCTAAATCGTCATCTGAAGAAGATTAGTCATTATTTAAAATTCACGAAAATGATGTTTTAAGCGTGAATACAGAACAGGAAAAATCCCATTTTTATGGTAAAGTTTAAATTTTGTTATGAAATTAAGGAAGTCCATCGTAAACGGTAGAGTGTTATAACATCGTTCAATAAACCAGTATTCGATATTAGTAAATATCACATAGAAGTTCGTTTACATACAATAAAGTAGAGACTTTTGTGATCTAAGAGAAAATCAGCAATGGAGTTTATTATTATCAGAATTCCCTCTTCTACCATTGTCTGCAATATTTGCTTTCAAATACATAAAAACGGGCTAAATGTTTCACTATGCAGACAAGGATATATAGTTTTATCAACCTCGTTCAAAAATCCTTTAGATTAGTATAATTCCACCTCACGTGAAAATTATCCGGTTGTAAATTATCAAGCGCTTTGTTCAACACCTTATAAAGACGATGCTCGAAAGACAATATGAAAGCTGAATTTTGATCTACAGAAAGAGATATTCGCCTTTTGTCGAGTGAAGCAAACATACACAAAATGCATTTGTACGAAGAATTAATTCACAATATTGTTGAGATGGAAGCACTAAGTTGGCAATAGAAATTTTAAAAATTGCGATGTATTTCAATCTTGTATAGAATATGACTTTCTTCTAAATAAAGTGAAGGTAGACAGCTGTTTATCCAATAAGCTTAGAGTAAAATCTATCGTAAAGAACGCTAATATAAAACGTAAAACAGCTCGTTGCCAAAATACATAATCGGATCTTCTGTGAGCGCTGTTACCAAACTATAATCAATATTACCATTAGCATCTTCCAATAATAAAGAATTAATAATCGCAAATTTGAGCCTTTTTGGAAGTACGTTTCCCGTCAATAGAACAAAAAGCACACGAGGAAGTCATATTCTTAAGGGTAAACCCTTAACGGTATCGCTTGGAGAAAGATCGGAAGTGCATTATATGGTCTCTTCAAAAGTAAGCTGATGTGTTGGATTAATATCTAGTAAAAAAATCTGAAAGGGGGAAATATATTGTAATAAAATTTTATAGTTTATATTTAAAAAATGATTTATTATTTACACATAACCCGTCTATGGAAAGTATAAGTTCTATTAAATTTTTCACAATAATTAGTTGAGAAGCTATTTAATAAGGAGATATGCAGGTTAATTTTATGTCTATGCGTATGCCTCATATATGGAAGCAGATTTCTGCAGACGAAAAAAATGTTCATATAATCGCTATCACGTAATAAAGGCAGATAAAAGGTTGTGGTTATTTTCCTTTCAGGCGTTCAAATCACCGTTTAAGATGTCCGATGGACATTCTGTCAATGTTCAGGCATACTATTCTTAAAAAAAAGGTTGAATCACCTCTACCCTGTATTCTTTTTTTCACGTTGTTGTATTAATATTTATGACGAAAACATGGCAAAGCCAGAAAAAAAGCCCATTCCTTTTAATTGACTGCTCAAAAAAGTTGTGGAAACTTCGCCATCAGGCCGACCAGCTGGCCGTAGACCTCGAAGTCGAACTCGTCGTCCAGCATGGCATGCTGGTGGTAGCGCAGCTCCGCCGTGGTGGGGTCGACGTAGCAGATGAACTCGCAGACCCGGCTGACCTCGGTATCCTCTGGGACGCCGGTGATGTCGACCGCCCGATCAGTGACCCCGCAGCAGAACTCCCAGACCCCGCTGACGACGAGGACCATCGCAACGAAGGCCCCGCGATGGGCCCCCGCCGTCAGCGCCGTCACGCGCGGCGCCACGCCATCGAAGCGGGGGAGGTCCGTCGGGCGACGGGGTGGGAGGGGCTTCGCGGACACGCCGAACATCCAGCCGTCAGAGGCAGAGGAGAAAGGGAGTTGGGACGAGATAAACGGTAAGAAAGGGAAATTAAAGAGAAGACCCCGCTGTTACAAAAATGCGCACAAACCAAAGATAGGAAAGGAAAGGAACTAAGAAGGGGGGGGGGGGAGAGAAGATGGAACTTAATGGAATAGAGGACATCAACCATAGGAAAAGGGCGGAAAATGAAATCAAGACGAAAAAAATACCTTGTGGTTGTTGTTTTCAAGTTATGCAAATTGTAAGGAATTTAACAAGTGAACATGCTTCCAAAGGAATGCCCGGTAAGATATTGATTTCGCAAACGATCCATGGAAAGCAGTCGCTGAGAAAAGGACAACCACCACGAGAAGGCCCGATTTCGACGTTTTGCCGCCTCCTGTTCTTGAACAAGCTGCACCCACTCCTCGTACGCGCACAGAAGCTTCGTCTTATCTATTTCCTTCACAACGATTCCTTCAATAATCGTCTCCCAACTTCCTCGCCGTCGCTCATCCACCTGTTTACGAATAAAACCCTTCACCGCCATGCCAAAATCCAGCTGCATACGACGCGCAACTCGCGCGATCTGTGGCTCTTTTAAGTGGACGATCCCCTTTGGGGGTGAATGATCTAAAAGAATATACCACGAGGTCCGCTGGTGATGCGGAATACTCCCATTACTCCCTAAAGGAAGAGGCTCAAATGGTTTTGTCTGCCAAATGCCGTAAAACATCGATTTCGCCGCAAACGGGCGAGAGGCTGGAGGAGGCATTACCTTGTATGCCTGTATATCCTCGGATATCAATCTACGCCCTTCTCGAAGCCATCCATCACGCGAACGTAGACTTACCACGGCGGAACGTTTATATACGACGTGCCCTTTTATTCTGCCAAGGATGGTGGTATTATCCTTTGGGTAAATGCCCTCATGTCGCGCTAGATCCGATTCAATCACAAAAAGAGGATGATGATGCAAAGCATTTAAAGTTGTCGGAATTGATTCCGAATACATGAGCGACTCTAGCTGTTTGTTCTCTCGAGCCACTTGTTTACGAGTTATGGTGGTCATATCCTTAGAAAAAGAAGTCAACAGAACTTCGGATATTTCTCGGTTATCATCCCATTTCAGTTTATTTTTCCATAAAAAGGATAATTGCCTAGATCTGTTCATGCGTTGGTTGAAAGCGTAGGCAGTGCTGTATTTGGAAATATAACGCGGTGTGACATCAACAATGACATCGCCACCGACGGAAAAGGTATACGGTGCTCCCCATAAAGTCGTGCATTCCCCACAAGGATTAGCAGCCAAAAAGCACTGTCGTTCTTCACTCCAAACTTCAACCCAAAAGCAAGAAGTTGGTAACTTTTTCGACGATAATTTCCCAGCTTGATTTTCTGTTTTACTTGTCTGAGCCCCTTTTTGGTGATTTTTGTGAAAAATAGACAGTTTTTCTAACTTAGACTCCGTCGGCTGGTTCTGGATCTTATCCCCTTCTAGTTGCTTCGCTACTTTTTCAAACTTCTTTGCTATCACCAGACGGCATTGCAATCCTGCCGCAGCTGACAATAATATAAATAACACAGAAAAGTACAAAGGATGTGGAAGGGGCTCCCGCTTTGAACCATCTTTAGCAATATCATGATGCATGCATCGGATTTTTTTGTACAGAAACCCGCGTATAATAGGCGCGCTCCAAGAAGAAAATATGGCTTCAGGATTTTGTAACTCTTTAACAGTGTCGTTGCTAGGGTTTGTTGAATCGCTTTCAACAGTTTGGTCAAGGCCAATTGATTCCGGTTTCAATACAAAATGGTCATGAATAACTTTCAAAAGAACTCTAACAGCTTCTGAAGTTTTATTATTAACGGCATCTTTATTCAGTGTCACCCAGGTCGGTGCAAGGGATGGCTTACACAGATGTGGGGCCTTTGACTCGGAAATAATCTTTCGGGCAGTTTTTGTCATGGTAATAAAGGGAAAATGCATTTCAAATGATTCGGATGATGAATCAACTTCCCTCTCCAAAGAATTAACCCCTCTTTTCCATTGAAAATCAAAATCATGCTTGGCTTTGCGAAATTTTAAAGAAAGTAACGCTTTTAGAAGACCAACATGATGGCACTCCCGCCAAATCAAACGCCCACGAATCATGACAGCTAGTAAACTCAACACGAATTCTGAAGTACGACGAATACGTTCTGACTTTCTTTGTGCAGCAAGTAAATCGCGCTGTTCGATCATTGCCTCGTAGGCTGGGTCGCTCCTCCGCCATGGTCGCTGTAGTTTTTCAATGAGAGGACGCTTAGAGCCTTTTATTTCAAAAGAGTTCTGCTCTTTGGTGATAGACGATGCAAAGTCATCATCAATCAGAATTGCTTCCTTCTTTATAAATGAATCACTTCCCACTCCATATGGACTGGTAGCTTCATCCTTTAAAACAGGAAGATTTGCTTCGGGTTTTGCCACAGTAGACGGAAAGTCAGTATCTTTTTTTACAGGATCCCTCTTCGCTAAAGATGCAACAGGAAGAACAACCTCATCCCAATCATCATCTATAATCTCAGGTTCACAAGTCTGCTCAGCTTGGACGACTGAAGTCACCATCGCCAACTTGCGCCGAGTTCCCCTTCCTCCTTTCTGGTCAGGCACTCGTAATCGTTTTGACGCATTTCTTAAATATCCATCAACATTTGAAGCAGCAATGACTGCAACGCTGGTGCAATCAGCGTTTTCTGTTTTATCGGAAGTGCCCATGTGTATGTTCAACCTAACTGCGTCCCGAATAAAGAAATATATAAAAATAACATATGCAACCACGTAGATGAGTCAATGATCTATTGATAAATGCCTGTATTATGAAATACTTTTGATGTAATGCTTATTAACGAATATTATTTGATGTGAAAACTTGGATCAATACAATATCGAGTGAAAGGTTAACTTTTGGTCATTGTTAAGTAAATTTTCGAAACATACATAATTGAAGCGCAGTGTGAATACAGTATTGAACAGTTTTATTATTTAAAGTGAAAAAATCACTAATCATATCAAAACCTAGACATCAAATGAATAGTATATGTATCATTATCAAACCAATAAACATGACTATAATAGCATAGAAATTAAAAGCTTTGAATTTCAATATCCAATACAAAACATTGAATCAGCACCATGAAATCCAGATTAGATAATTGTAAAACAATATCATCAAAGGTTTAAAAACTTCAAGAACTATAAAGGTTTTAATAAGTTAATATCACCCTGAATTTGCGATTATGAGAATGTATTTTTATCCTTTATGCGAATACAAAGCCACCTTTGTTGCTCCACTCTTAGGGAACAAAGAAAAGGACAGTCAACAAATATTTGTTAGAAATCAGAAATTAACTTTGTGTATCTCAGCTTCTATCATAATAATGAAAAGTTAAATGGTTATATGTATCATAAAATTGAATATCTTTTCTTGATTAAATGATAGCTTGCTCTATTAGAAAATAGGCTAAAAGTTGTATTTCATAGATAAAATAAGCTTAAATTAGGATCAAAAAGTTCCAATGAACGCAGATTGTGTTTTCTCAGTTAGTTTTCCACTTCCCTTTCCATATCTGTTGTGAGTTAACATATTTTTCTTTATTAAGTTCTTACTAATAGGGATAACTGAAAAAAAATGTTAATCTATCTTGAAGTAATTTTCTAAAGATGCACATTCCTTACCGTTGTATCATAGTTATTTTAGGATAATCACCATCTAGAATTAAATATCAGCACAGATGTAATGTAGGTGTGTTTAGGCTAAGTCAAAGGCAGCAATGGAAGTAAAAGATAATTCTGAAGAATGATAATTATTAACTAAATAATAGTGAAAAATCTATAATTCGTTATTAAAGATATTAATAAAGATGAATAAAATATTGACAAAACAGTATAGCCGACCTCTTTTCGAATAGAAGATATACAATGTTTTTTTTTTTAAAGAAAGGATCAGCTTTCATGTTTTAAAGATGAGCCTCCTTCCCAAAAAAAACTATCGCCCTTTTCTGCATTATTGCTAAACTTTGAGCAATATGAAAAGATGTAGAGAGTAGTATGAGAATGCTATATGTTTTGCAGGTTACCTCACCAGACATAAGCTACATTCGTCTTCTTTTTTACACCTGCAGTACAGAAGTAAGGGAAACAACTGGAACACATAATTAGAAAAAAAAACTTATAGGTGAGTGAGTACCAACAAGTCTCCGTTAACTAAACTACAATACATACACTTCTTCTCGTTCCGAGTTAATATCCTAGTTATTAATTTTATAGATGATGAAATAAGAATTTGAAAGCAAATATACATCTTCAAGATACAAATAAAAGGATAAGAACCTAATAACTGATTGTATTAGAGTTTACCGGAAAGCTTCTTGTGACAAGCCAGGTAGACATCTTGAATCATGTAAAAGAAACCCAAGCGAATAGTGACGATCGATTAAATGGTGGTTATACAAAAAAAAAAATCTTGTGTGAACATGTATAAACTGCAGTTTGCCGTTGTCATGTCCTATAAGGGAAATGTGACATTAAACAGTTCTGCATTGTTGCCTTGCCAGATAAAATTTTAGAATAAGCTTGACCTCAAAAAGCAGATTTAGAACACTGGTATAGATAAAGACACAGAAAAGGATATAAAATAAACTTGATTGAAGTAAACCTACAATGGAGTTTAGTAATAAACATGCAGGATCATAAGCTTGGAATATTGATCCAGTAAACTATGGAATTCTTCTTGAGGTTGAGGCATTCTAGGAAACCCCAAGGCACTTCAGGAAGTCAACAAACTGGGTTGCGAAGCCGCAGCCCTTCTTATATAAGAGCAGAATAAATAAGTAACAGGCATTCACGAAGTTTTTCTGGCACAGGAAAAAATTGAAAAAACAAAAGGGCTTTAGTCAAGATGAAAAAAATCTAGGGGAACC